GCATCCCCCCAATAACCTCCGATAATAAAGAACCATGTCGAAATCACCACCTGTGACCAAAGTGATTGTCATCCACTTGCTCAAAGTCATCCCACATGTGTGACTCTCAAGGCTCCTCTGCTATACATATCAATAAAAACCTAATATATAAAGGAACCTTTACTTCTTAATTCACTAGAAAGTGACACAACCCTCTCAAGAACCTCAATAGTTCTAAAATTCTGGAGTTTCACAAAAATAAGATACCGCATAAGGCTCCAAACATCCGAAGACTACACTCATGCACATTTCTACCCCTTCACAAGCAACTAACTAGCTTATATATATGTTATAAATTATCAAATTCTTTTTGTGCATCTCTTCTAGTTACTTTGTCAACTTTTCAACTTATAAACATTATTTTACTAAACACTCGTCATTTATGTGGAGCTTATAAGTTAGACAAAATTTCATAAACCAAACACATTTTTAATTTATTTTCAAAAACTTAGGACCTTCATGAACTTGTACATCTCATCCAATTTTAAGCTAAAAAAAAAAGGCCAAACCAAGCTACCCTGTAATACACCCCTGATAGAAAAGCTGCATAATAAAGAGAGGAAAAGAAAAGATTCTTAAGAAATATTTAATGCATAATAAATTAAGAGAATTAAACTATTTAATATATATTATGAGACCCCTACAAACTACTATTTTTTCCAATTGAATTATACAAATATCAACTAGATCCAGAATATAAATTCAATATTTTTGAAAGAACTGAAAAAATACTATTTCCATGTTCAGTAGTCAGAAAAATCATCATGACAAAGAATAAGTAAACAGCTCTTACTACAACATCTGGTCGAACTTCTTCCCAGTCACAAGCCAGCATTTTCCCTGTCCGTGCTAACCCACTTTGTATTTCATCCGCAATCATTAAAACATTATATTTTGAGCAGAGATCTCTTACTGCTTTTAAATAACCATTTGGAGGAATTACAACCTAAAAATCACAAAAATGGACGTAAATTGAATGAGACGACTGTAACATAACTGAAACTTCACATGTTGAGAATGCCAAAGTTTGTGATCATGCATGTTCTCAAGTAACACCAGAATGAAGTTATTAAAAAAAATTTTATGGCTCCATTCTTTTCTTTTTTGGCTGGCCAAATAGTGGAAAGGGGTGATTTGCATAGCAACTCTCCTTGGGTGTGATAACTAAAGACAGTCATAACTTAAAGTTTAACTGTAACTCCACCAAACTGCATGGTAGATAGATTCAGTTTCCAGAAATGTCTAGTCGCAGACTAGTACCACACATGATTTAAGTCATGACCACGTG